CGTATGCTCCGCATGGGATTCCAACCGCGTGTGGTTTCAGCCTCCTGGGTTGCTTCAGACGCCCAACTTGAGATTCTCGATCGGAACACGATCACTCCGAACCAAGAAGGTGTTGTCGTTGCAGGGAAGGTTGCGTTGGTGATGGCCCACGTGAGGAGTAGAAGGAAAAGGGAAGGGTGGACGAGCAGGAGGAGGAGGACGACGACGACGACGAGGACCCCCCCCCCGACCGGGGGGCGCCCTGACCCCTCCCAGAGCACGAACCCATAAAACAGAAGTGTGCTCGAACGTGTCGTTGCGGCCTGACTCCGCCCGCCTCGCTCCCTTTTCGTCCCTCCTTTCGAGTCCCTCCCTCATTTTTTGTTATGCCCTCGTGGGAAGCACCATACAGCGCAATGGGGAGGACGAGGACGACGAGAGGAGGAGGAGGAGGAGGAGGAGGAGGAGGAGGAGGAGGAGTAGGAGGAGGAAGAGGAGGAGGATGAGGAGGGAGAGGAAGAGGAGGAGGAGGAGGAGGAGGAGGAGGAGGAGGAGGAGGAGGAGGGAGAGTAGGAGTAGGCGGAGGAGGGAAGGGAGAGGATCGAGCAACGCCAGATTCTACTCCCACGAGTCCCCCACGCTGCGCTCAGCGATCCGTCGATATTCATCGCAGTTCGTCGCATACCTATAGCATGGCACACCCTCTGCCATAGCAGATCCCAATCGTTACCTGTTCTTCGGGGTTTCTGGTCTACCCCTAGGCATCCACGACGGCACTGGCACGATCCGTGGCCTTATCAACGCAGGAGGACCGGGGCCGGTAACGGCCATTGCCCGCAGGGGCCCTCCCCCTTCCCCTCCTCTCTTCGGGCGTCTTCGTCGGCTCTTGGCGGTGCTCCAGCCTCTGACCAGTTTGAAGCACGTCTTGATCCCTGTGGTCGACATCACGTTGCTTCGATGCCGAACTCGCAACGATTCCTTCAGCTTCTGAGGGTGCATCCCTAAGGTTGTCGTCGCTTGTGGCGTGCGGAACTCAAACATTGGGATAAGTTCGAGTCTGCTTACCGCCTCTTCCGCCTCATCGTCGCCCTCCTCCGCAGAGTCCTCGTTACCCCCTGGTGCCTTCTTGGTCGAGTGCAGCACGCGTGGAGCTCGCGCCGCGTGCGCGGCAGGCTCCCCCCCACCCCCACACCCGCGAGTGGTACGAGGGGCCGTGACGCGTGCGAGGTGACTTGGAGGATGGAGCCCTGGAGGTACCGTGGACACCCAGGCAAAGGAACACCCTGCCTGCCTCCAGGGCGCCCTGGGTGTCTTGGGGGTTGTTCTTGATGCTTCTGCGGAGGCAAGCGTGGCGTTCCCGCACCAACAAAAATCAGGGTTGGGCTTCTCGTGGAAGGTCTCCTGTGGTCGGGGGTGGACAGACCTCCTACCCTGACACGTCGATGAGTGAAATGGCCGTTTTCGGTTCGCGAGAGGGCGCCGCGGCCGTCGCTTTTGCGGGTCCAGGTCCGTCGGTTTCGGTCCCAGGCCGTTTTCCCTAGAGGGAGGTCTACTGAAGGGAGGTTTGTCCACCGCCGATTTTTAGCTTCATACCCGCACTCTGGCTTCGGGCTCCTCCACAATGGTGCTCCCGTCTCATCGTTGGCTCCATGTCAGGGGTGGACCTAAACGGTGTTTTGGCGACTTCGTGGGCCGTTTTCGTTTCGATGTCGTTTTGCGTCAAAGGCGGATCGAAGGCAAAACGAGGGAGCACGAGAACGAAACGACTGGCCCCCACTGTGCCCGCGGAGTCCGGGGTTCGTGCCTCCCGCTGCGGCGCCCGGAGGTGCGCGCCCTCCGCGGAGCCCGTTCTGGGCCGGGGAGGCCTGCCTCTCCAGAGGGGCGGCCCGAGATTGCAGGATGGCCGTGCTTCGCGCTGCGCGAAGCGCAGGGCCAGGCGGCCCAGGATCGGCTCCTGAAGGTTTGGAACACACCAGGAACCCCGAGTAAGAGGTTTTCATTGAGGATGAAAGAGTCGGGTGTAGCCAGGACCCCGGGTAAGGGGACCCGGTTAGTGGCAGGGCCCTGGGGCCCCTCAATTAGCCAGATTCACTCAACCAGGTTTGTCGTAGCTGGTGTTTTTCCGAGTGACGGCAGTTCTGGTTAGTGGAGATGGGACGGGGGGGCGCCCCTGGTACAAATCACTAAACCAGGTTCCACTAAACCCAGTTCTGCCAACGCCCGAAAGAACCCCTGACCCTATTAACACGATGAAGACGTGGCCTCACTGAGGTCCCCCTTTGTTTCTGTTGCACCGCTGGCGTGGGCTCTGCCACAGATGGGGTGCACCCCAAGTACCCTGTGTAGACCAGGCCGAGGGGACAGGGCATGCACACGACATGGCAAATAATGCTTCTGGGGAGATGGCCCAGATATCGAGCGAAAGCGGAGGAGCGGCGAGGCATGGGCATGACGAGGTGGTCCCCAGCCACCCGCACGAAGCTCGCTGGTCGAGGGCGTCATCCCTGCTGGAACGCCTGCCTGCCCCTGTGCCTGTCTGCACCCTCCAGTCATCACCCGCACTGGTGATCCGAGGCCCGAAAACCATCACTTCACTAATTTTGGGCCCCAGGGCCCACTGAGGCCCCAGGGCCCCCAGATTAGTGAAGTGATGTTTCCCACGTAAGGACCCCGAAATTCATCACTTCACTAAACCGAACCCAGGACGAAAATCAGGGGCCGAATTGCTGCTGTGATGCCACATCGGCCTCGTATGGTGAGCCAGGAGAGAGAGAGAGAGAGAGAGAGAGAGAGAGAGAGAGAGAGAAAAAAAGAGAAGTGAGAGAAAGAGAGAGAGGCGCACCTCCCGCGTTCCTGCCTGGGGGAGTGGGCGTGCGGAGAGCTGCGGCGGGCAGTCTCTCTCTCTCTCTCTCTCTCCCTCTTCTCTTCCGTGTCTCCTTGAGCTTGGCGCTTACAGTCGGTGCGCTGAAGAAGGAACCCCTTTCGTTGTGGAGGGGCTCCGTGTTCCTTAATTGTTTCACAGCTTGCCTCAGGGTTTCCTTATGTCTTCGATGGGACATCGAAGTTTAACGTATGGAAAAAAGGGGCCTCGTTCCTTATTTAGGGTTCCTTAGGTCAACGCCCCGACTGTACTCTCTGCCTTTTAGTAGGTGGTAGGCTCGGCCGCTCGGAGTCCTCGGCCTGCTGTGGGTGTGTGCCTGGGCGGAGGGGGGTGGGGGGTTGCTCTGCTGCCCGCCGCAGGCGACGCGCGGCCACGACCACTACTCGTGAGAGCGGCCGGCGCGGGCCGGGCCTCGTCCCTCGAAGGAGGGAGGAGGGGCACCGACGATGCCGCTGCCACATCTGCCTCGTGCTCGCCCTCCTGGGCCCCTCGGGAGGCCCCGGTCGCCACGGCCGGAGCTGCCTCGACCTCCTGGTCCGAGCGCGCCCCGGGAGAGGCCCGGGGAACGGCGGCATCGTCGGCGCCCCGGTGGATTCCCCCGTCGCCTTCGCCGCGAGCCGCACGCCGATGCGCGTTGGCGGCCGGCCCCGGACGGGGCGGCGGACGCTGTACAGCTGCCGATATCCCAGCGGCCTCCCGACCTGGGCGGTCTGCCTTCTTCTGCTCGAGGCGGCAGCTAGGCAGGGAAGGGCCGGAGCCGGTGTCACGGTGTGGCGCGCGTGCCTCTCTCCTCGCTGCCGGCCTCCGCTCTGGGTTGCGGCACAAGCTTTCGTGCAGATCCCACCGCTGAGGGTTCCCGTGCGGCCCCTGGGGGCAACGAAGCCAAAGCGAGCAGGGAAAGCATTGTGTTTGGGTCGAGCCCTGTGCTTCTCGTAGCAGAGGAGAGACAGGATCCTGGAAGCCCGCAGCGGAGCGTTTGGGCGCCCCCTGCCGGCTTCCAGGATGGCCTCTTGGGGCCGTCACAGGGTACTTTTGGATGGCGCCTTCGGGGCACTCTTGAAGCCTCATGATGGGTCCGGGGGAGTGGTCTTGGGAGGAGCTGCCGCGCGACAGGGTCGACTTGAAAATCGTGTACGGATTCACCAGGTTCGGGGGATTCCCCAGAGCGCCAAGCACTCGTCTTCAAAGGCGCGGTTCTGGGCCTCACTTCCTGGCACTATGGGGTCGGAATGACGTGATCTTGCGGAAATCAGCCTCGTCAACCAGATCATTGTTCATCGTTAGTTGAGGAGCCAGTCTCGCCAGCCATGCCACAGTCTCCTCCTCATCGCTCCTCGCTTCTACCCCTCCCCCAGACCCCGAACGTCTTGATTTCCATCACGTGGCCCCCATGCAGTTTCTGGACCCCTTCCCTGGGACTGTTTTTTCACATTTAGTCGTTTTGAGACGGTCCTGGGGCTTGGCGGGGGCCCCGAGAGGCCGAGAACTCCGAGAACGTCCAGATGTTGCCCGCCGTTATACGTTCTCATAGCGTAAGGGGGTGGGGTAGGTTCGCGTCGTGTCCACCAGCGGCGACCTCGCCGCAGGCGTTCAACGTTGAGCGCCGCTGGCGACCCAGAATCGGTCGATGCTGAACGATCTGACGTTTCGGAATCGGCCGATCGTTTTAGGCTGAACGATCCCCTCGGTGTCAGAGATCCACGCCGAAGTCGTCACGACACGAGCCTGCCGTAAGGGCCCTCCCCCTCCTGGACGGTCTCCCGCCGAGCCCGCCAGGCGAACCGCCTCTGCTCTTCCTCCCTTTGTCTCCATCTCCCCCCTCCTCCTCCTCCTCCTCCTCCTCCTCCTCCTCCTCCTCCCTCCTCCTCCCCTCCTCCTCCTCCTCCTCCCTCCTCCTCCTCCCTCCTCCTCCTCTCCCCTCCTCCTCCCCTCCTCCCCCCCCTCCTCTTCCTCCCCCTCCTCCCCCTCCTCCTCCTCCTCCTCCCCTTCCTCCTCCCTCCTCCTCCTCCTCCCCCTCCTCCTCCTCCCTCCTCCTTCTCCTCCTCCTCCTCCTCCTCCCCCTCCCCCTCCTCCTCCTCCTCTCCTCTCCTCCTCCTCCTCCCCTCCTCCTCCTCCTCCTCCTCCTCTCCTCCCTCCTCCTCCTCCTCCTCCTCCTCCTCCTCCTCCTCCTCCCCGACTGTCCCCCTCGCCAGCGGGCAGGACGTCCCAAGGGGTGCCCAGGCCGCTTGCGAGGCGGCATGGTGCTGCCGGGCGCCGGCGGCACGCTTGCGAACCAGATGGCCGCGGGCGGCGCTGACCTCCCGGAGGCGCCGGGGGGGGGGGGGATGCGGGTGGCCAGCGCCTTACAGTCGGGTCCCTGAAGAAGGAGCCCTTTTCGTTGGGAAGGGGCTCAATGCTCCTTAATTGTTTTACAGCTTGCCTCAAGTTTTCCTTATGTTTTGGATGGGGAATCTGAGTTCAACTTATGGTAAAAAGGGGCATCGTTCCTTATTTGGGGTTTCTTAGGTCAACGCCCCAACTGTAGATCGAAGACGCTTTCGATCGAGGCCTCCCAGATGGCGTCCGAGCAGACGGCGATGCATCGACGATGCATCGCTGATGTATTGGCGATGCGGCGCTGTCCTCCGTCCCCATCTCATGATTCGGAACCCATCCCCAGGAGGCCTCTGTACGACGAGTCACCGCCGCCCCCTGCCTTTATGGAAGCGCCTCTGTGGCCGAGCATTGTGGGCAGAGCTCGACCACGCTATCCGACGGTGTGTTCCCCCAGCCGTTGTGGGAACCCTTCGGGGAACACTTGGGGGCTGAAGAGGAAGAGGACGAGAGGAAGGAAAATAGATGAGCAGGAGGAGGAGGAGGAGGAGGAGGAGGAGGAGGAGGAGGAGGAGGAGGACTCTTGGAAGCTTCTAGGGCATTCTTGGGGCCTCCTGGGCGCTTCCTGGGGGCTGTTTGAAGGCCTCTTGGAGGCCTACTTGAGTCTCTTGGGGGTGGGCGTTGTGCAGTTTCCGCTCGTCTGAATCGTTCCTGGCCCGTCTGACGTCATCGGAAGCCGTCTGTGGGGCCTCTCTGTGCCGACCTGGGGCCTTCGGAGGGAGCTTCAGGGCTGTCTTGGTGGCAATATTGGGCGTCTTGGAGGTCTCCTTGGTTGTCTTTCGCGGCAAATATTTAGACCCCTGCCCCCAGCACGACGACCAGACGTCAGTTCAGGATGCGTACCTGTACGTTCTGGGACGAGCTTGCGCTGCACATGACAGCGGCGCGCCCTCAGACTCCCACTCGGGGATCGGCAGACGCATTCCCATTCGATGTTTCAATCGACGGATCGGCTTCTTCCTCGCAGCACGTGGGAAGGCGGCGATGCACTTTTGCTCGCCCCAGGAAGGGCCCGACTCTCCACCGAAGACCCCGCGACAAGCGTATGTTCGCCCAGTATCATAAGCACGGAGTCTGTTTTAGAGGAGTGTCGTTTTGTTTCAAGTTCGTGGTGTCTTGCCACGGGTTCCTGGTCCAGCACTGCGGATTCTCTGTCTTCCGCTGACGGCCCGCTGCCCCCTCCATTGTTCCTGCCCCATGTCTTCTCCCTGCTTCCCTCTTCTGCTGCTGCTTCTGCTCTCCTCTCTCGCCCGCTCCATCCTCCACGTTCGCTTCACCTCCAGGCCAGTCCAATCCGAAGCGCCTCCTGCTCGGCTCGAGCCCCTCCGCGCCGGCAGCACCATTCTACTGCCATCGCCGTTTTCGGTACTTCATCGTTGTGCTGGCGGAAGGGGTCGAAGTTTCTCACTCAAGTCTTGGGGCCGTTCCGAGGGCCTCTTGGGCCGTCAAGGGGCCATCTTGGAGGCTTCTTGGGGCGATCTTGGTGGCCGCTGGGGCCGCCCTGGGCCGTCGGAAAGCCGAACATGAGGAAACACTACAATCTTGCAAAAACGTGAGGGCAACCAATGATTTTGGCCTCTTCGGGCCTTCCTGGACATCCTCGTGGAGGCCTCTTGGGCCGTCTTGGCGCCCTCTTGGGGGCCTCTTGGACCGCCTTGGGCCATGTGTGGGCCGTCTTTGGATGTTTTGCGCATCTCGGCCCGACTTCGAGACATCTCGGCGCCATCTTGGATTCTCTCGGGGCCATGTTAGCCGTTTGGGGCCATCTCGGAGGCTCTCTGCCGCCTGTGAGGCGGCGAAATTTCCCCCATATCCTAAGATGGGGTTCTTGTTATTATTTGGACGCCTCCTACTGTTCCTTCCTCTTCTTCTCCTCCTCATCCTCCTCATACCTAGACTTACTCATACACAGACTTACTCATACACAAGCTTACTCATACTCAGACCTGATCATATGAACTTACTCATACTCAGACCTGCTCATACTCAGACCTACGCCTACTCAGACTTACTCATGCTGAGACTCACCCATACCCAGACTTGCTCAGACTCAGACCTTCTCATTGTCTGGCTTTTTCCACACAGCAGATTGTGCGGATGTCTCAGGCGGGGCGCTGGTTTCAGCACCCCTAGGGGGAGCCACCAAGGGGTATGACACGGTCCCGTTCGCGGCCGTTTTGTATGGATGTCTCAAGCGGTTTGCCTGTGTTCTGTCCCAACATCCTTCGCTTGGAGAGCATACTGTGAGGATGTCTCAGGCGGGGGGCTGGTTTCAGCACCCCTAAGGGGAGCCGCCGAGGGGTATGACACGGTCCCGTTCGCGGCCGTTCTGTGGGGATGTCTCAGGCGGTTTGCCGGTTTTCTGTCTCTACATCCTTCGCTTGGAGAGCAGTTTGTGAGGATGTCTCAGGCGGGGCGCTGGTTTCAGTTACCTGAGGGGAGCCGCCAAGGGTGCTTTCACGGCTCCGTTCGTCGCCGTTCTGTGGGGGTGTCTCTAGCGGTTTGCTTGTTTTCTGTTTTTGCGTTGTGTCCCGAGTGGTCCTCCCCGTTGCGTACGGCGGTCAAGGAGGAGTGACCAGGTGTTGCTGGCGCAGAGCTTGTATCACCGTGGGATGTTGCTTTTTCTCTCCGTGGTGCTTTCCAATCGTGTCGTCGTCAGAGGGAGAGGGAACTTGAGAAGGTTCATTCTCCCGCGTGCGTTTTGGGCTGGGGAGGGAGCTTGAAAGGGTTCACTCTCTAGCTGCGGGAGAGCGAACTTGTAAGGGTTCACTTTCCCGCTTGTGGTCGAACTGGAGAGGGAACTTGAAACAGTTCACTCTCCAGGCAGGGACAGGGAATTTGAAAAGGTTCACTCTCCCTCTTGTGGTCGGACTGAAGGGGGAACTTGCAAAAGGTTCACCCTTCAGCCGCGGGAAAGAGAACTTGCAAAGGTTCACCTCCCCGCATGCGATCGAACTGGAGAGGGAACTTGAAAGGGTTCACGCTCCAGGCGGGGGGGATGGATTTTGAAAAGATTCACTCTCCCTCTTGTGGTCGGACTGAAGGGGGAACTTGAACAGGTTCACCCTTCAGCCGCGGGACCGATGCCAAGTGGGAACGGCACTCCGCGAGGGGCGGCGTGGGCGCGCCGAGTCGGCCCCTGCGCTCCTCGGGGGGGACTCGCGGAGGCCGCGGAGGGGGCCGCCGCGGGGGGCCGTCCACAGCCTCGGGCCTCGCCAAGCCCTGCCCCCCCCCCCCCCCTCTCTCGCAGGAGGGGAAAAATAACGCACAGACGCAATTCATCGTCGATTCCCAAGGATATATGGGGAAATACGGGAAGTGGGGGGGAACAAAAACACACAGGAGAGGAAAAAATACACAGACACAATCAATCGTCGATTCCCCAGGGAATATGGGGAAATATTATGGGAAGTGGGGGCGAAGACAGAAACCCAGAAAATGTTCATTTGTGTCTATTTATGTGTATGTGTGTGTGCGTGTGTGCGTGTGTGTGTAGGTGTGTTTGTGTGTGTGTGCGTGTGTGTGTGTGTGTGTGTGTGTGTGTGTGTGTGTGTCCCAGGGCCCCTTCACTCTCCCCCTCTTCTCCTCCCCTGTTAAGGGGAACGAGCAATGGCAGAAACATCAAAACTCGGAGGTCCGCGCGGATTTCTCGCATTCTTGTTGGGCCCCCCTCTCTGGCGCGCGGAGCGCGCCAGGGGCGGCGCCGGAGGCGTCGCCAGGGGGGCCAAGCGAGGATCTGAGAAATCCGCGCGGACCTCCGAGTTTTTATGTTTATGTGTTTGTTTCGTTCCCCTACTTGACCCAGTCTGGTGAAGCGGGCCTGGATCACGTAGGGCCTACCCGGTACCATTAAGCTTTGGCCTCGGACCCCGCGCCACGAAGCCGTCGCTGCCGCCTCCAAGAGGCACTGCACAAGTATCCTGCCGTTCCAGTGGTACAGTTGGGGCGCTGAAGAAGGAACCCTCTCTGTTGGGGATCGGCTCGGTGTTCCTTGATGGTTGTGCAGTTTGCCTTGGGGGTTCCTGAGGTTTTCCACGTGAGATCGAAGTTTGACTTATGGGACACAGGGGCCTCGTTCCTTATTTAGGGTTCCTTAGGTCAACGCCCCGACTGTATTAGATTAAGCTGGGGAAGATCCTCCTCTTCTCCTGGCCGCCGCCAGGAGGAGCCCCCGTCTCGCCCGTCCGTGGGCGGCGGCGCGGCCGGCGACGGCGACGTCGACGAGACGCTGCAGCTGATGATGGAGCTGGGCAGGGACGGATCGCAGGAACGCGCGTGTTCCGGCGGACTTCCCTCTCCTCCTCCTCCTCCTCCTCCTCCTCCTCCTCCTCATCCTCCTCATCCTCCTCATCCTCATCCTCCATCTTCATAGTTATCTTCATCCTCATCTTCATTTCATCTTCAGCATCACCATCATCACCATCATCATCACCAACATCATCATCAACAGCAACATCAGAATCATCATCATCATCATCAGCATCATCATCGTCAGTATCATCATCATCATCATCATCATCATCATCATCATCATCATCATCATCATCATCATCATCATCATCATCATCATATCATCATCGTCGTCGTCGTCGTCGTCATCATCATTATTATCATCATCATCATCATCATCTTCTTCATCCTTCCTTCCCCCTCTTTCCTCCTTCCCCCTTCCTTCACTTCCTCGTCCTCCCTCCATCCTCCCCATCTCCTCCCTCTCCTCCTCCCTGCCCACCTCCCTCTTTTCCCCCATCCCCTTTCCATCTGCGAAGGGGCCCTGCACGGACTGGGCCGCCCTGACCGAGTCCGCAGTGCTTGAGCACCTTGTCAGCTCCCCTTCGCGCTTCCTCGGGGAAGCCCATGACAGGCAAAGGAGGGGAAGGAGGGCGATCGCGTCAGGATCTCTTCTGCCATCTCCTCGTGTTGCGGCGGGGGTCGGGAGGGGGGCAGGGGCTTCTGAACTGATGAGGGGGGCCGCCCCTAGGATGCGTTTCTCTGTTGGGCCAAGATGTGGTGGGGCGCGTTCCCGACGACGCGGCACCGACGCCCAAGGAGGCGCGGCCCGTTTTGCCGCAGACTCGCGCCCAGTGCCTTCAGCGCCGGCCCCATGTATCCATAGCGTGCTCCCGCGGGGGAGCAGAGGCGTCCTCGTGCTACTCCTCGAGGTCCTCCCCCTGGCGCCTCGCCTTCGGCCTCTGCCTCCGCGCTCTCGAGGGTGCCGCCTCTCTCCCTGCATGGGCGCCGCGGCGACCGCCGCAAGGTCGTCGGGGTGGGCTCCGCGGCCCCCTGCCGCGGCGGAAGCCCGCAGCCCGGGCCCGCGGCCTTGAGCCCGCGCAGCCTGCAGCCCGCGGCCTCGAGTGTTCTCAGCCTCGCGCCCGCAGTCCTCCTCCTTCTTCTCCTCCTCCTCCTCCTCCTCCTCCTCCTCCTCCTCCTCCTCCTCCTCCACCTCCTGCTCATCCTCCCCATCCTGAACCTGTGCAGCTTCGCCTCGCCCAGCGCCGTGCACGAATCGCCGTGCGCGAGGCCACCCGGGAGGGTCGTCGGCCCAAGATGCAAGGCCTCTATGCGCGCACCCTTGCGAGTCTTGCCTATCCCGATAAGTTTGAGCTCCTAATTGGGCGGCGCCTGCGGTCCTGGTTTGATTGTCCTGCCCCCCGAAACATGCGAGTTCGATGGGACCTGGTGCGGGAAATCCTGCGCCGGGCCCCTCCGAGCATTCGCTGGCCGTACCTCAAGACGATTTCGGGTGGATGGACCACCACGGGCCGAATGCCTGTTACAGATACTTTCTGGAGCTGTGCTTTCGGATGTTCGCACCCCGATAGCATAGCTCACTATTTAAAGTGCCCCCGCCTCACTCACCTCGTTTGTCGTCCTCGTGCTGTCGTCTCGCCGTGTCCCCTTCTCCGCCTCGGTCTTGGTCTCCCTACGCAATATCCGGCATTTGACCTCACCCGGGAGAATGCTATTTTAGCAACGGCTCTCAGTTTCTATATCTACCACGTTGCCAAGGAGATGGCTTCGCATCAAGACGGACGCCCTTTAACTCTCCCGCAGCTGCTCGATGCTTTGAAAGCAGTATTGCCCAAAAATGCCAAGCAATTACTCGATTATAATTACCCCCTCCGCCCAATGCGGCTAGGCCATACAGCTGGCTCAGGCCGAGGCGTCGAGGCTGAGCTCGACCGACTCGCTGAAGCTACTGGCGCTCCTCCTCCTCCTCCTCCTCCTCCTCCTCCTCCTCCTCCTCCTCCTCCTCCTCCTCCTCCCTCTCTCCTCATCCCTCTGTCCTCCTCCTCCCTCTCTCTCCTCCTCCTCCTCCTCCTCCTCCTCCTCCTCCTCCTCCTCCTCCTCCTCCTCCTCCTCCTCCTCCTCCCGTAGCCCGAGCCCGCAGCCCGAGCTCGGGGGACCACCCCCAGGGGCGCCCTCGAAACACTCCGAGAGCGAGGCGGCCCGCAGGACGCCGCGGCCGCGCCGCCTCCGCAGCCGCCGCAGCCGGCGGCGGACGCCGCCGTCGCGCTGGGCGCGGGCGCCAGGACGGGCGGCCGCCGCCGTCTCCGCTGGAGCCCAAGACTTTTGTGGGCCCCGGAAACGGCAGGGCTGTTTTTTCACCGTGTCCAAAAAATGTCCATTGAAAATGGAAGCGGGGAAAAAACGGCGACCGGAAACGGCAAAAAAGCGGCTCCAGGATCGGAACTGGAGCCGGATCTGGTCAAACAACGGCGACGGAACCGGTAAAAAAACGGCGTCGGAACCGGCAAACAAACGGCAAAACGGAACCGGTAAAAAAACGGCCCTGTCGTTTTCAGGGCCCACTAAGGCCCAAGATGCCCTGAGCTCCTGGGCGTTGCTATTTACCTAACAGCTTGTTCTGATAGGTTTCTAGTGGGGTCAAAAGAGAACAGCAGATGACTCCACAGGGGGGTCTGGGCGGGTGCCGGACAGGGTGCCGCAGAAGTCGTTTTAAGCCAACAGTCACACACTTCGTGCTCTTCGACCTCCCAGAACTCCATTCCCGGGCCACATTCTGAATGCCCGGAGCCAACTGTAGGCCACTTCGTGCTCTTCGACTTCCCAGAACTCCATTCCCGGGCCACATTTTGAATGCCCGGAGCCAACTGTAGGCCACTTCGTGGTCTTCGAGTCCCCAGAACTCCATTCCCGGGCCACATTTTGGAATGCCCGGAGCCAACTGTAGGCCACTTCGTGCTCTTCGAGTTCCCAGAACTCCATTCCCGGGCCAGATTTTGGATGCCCGGAGCCAACTGTAGGCCACTTCGTGGTCTTCGAGTTCCCAGAACTCCATTCCTGGGCATGATTTTGAATGCCCGGAGCCAACTGTAGGCCACTTCGTGTTCTTCGAGAGAGGGCCACCCACTGAAGGCCATGTTTTGCATGCTTTGAATGAGCTGAGGCAGGCTGAGGCTGAGGCTGAGGCAGGCTGATGCTGAGGCAGGCTGAGGCTGAGGCTGAGGCTGATGCAGGCTGAGGCTGAGGCAGCCTGAGGCTGACGCCGAGGCTGAAGGCAGACTGAGGCTGAGGCTGAAGCAGGCTGAGGCTGAGGCTGAGGCAGGCTGAGGCTGAGGCAGGCTGAGGCTGAGGCTGAGGCAGGCTGAGGCTGAGGCTGTGTCTGTGACTGCCGTTGCCACTGCGACTGTCATCGCGAATGCGACTACGACTGCGAGAACAGCACAATTCTACAACTGGATTCTCATCTGAATCTTAAGGGGAATGCTTCCAGATATGCTCCTACACATCGCTGTTAGGTTGCTTTGCCGGGATAATTTTTCGCGCCGTGTCGGGCCCCGGGACGCTCGCAGATCGATCCGGCCCGAGCAATGCCGCGGAGAGAGATGGGGTCCTCGGGCTCGGGTCGTGATCTGTCGCGGTGTTCCCTGAGCTCCGGGAGTTGCGCTTCTGTGTCGCCTCGGGCGTTTTCGCCCGGTTTCGGGCCCCAGGACCCTCATAGGTCGATCCAGCCATAGCAGATGAAGCACGAAGATGGCGCATTTGGGGCTCCAGTCGTGCTTCGCGATGTGTTGCAGTTGATTTGGCACGTCGGGTCTCAGGATTCGGGGGTGGGTTGGGGGCGGCCACGAGGCGTGCGATGACTTTGGCTTAGGGATGGTGGATGTCATGGCCGCGGCGTTTTTTTTTTTCTCTCCGGCGTAACGCTCGCTGCCCGGGCCACCCCACCACCCCCGCGTGTAACGCTGACGATCGTGCCGTGGGGGAGGGGGGGCCTGGCCCACTCCCTACATGCCGAGAGCGGACCCCGCAGGTATGGTGTTGTGCTGACAGGCGTGGCGTGGTCTGAACGGCACGCATTGGTGCTCACAATCGTGTTGTGGCGCTCGCAGTCGTCGTCGTCGTCGTCGTCGTCGTCGTCGTCGTCGTCGTCGTCGTCGTCGTCGTCGTCGTCGTCGTCCTCGTCGTTGTCGTCGTCGTCGTCGTCGTCGTCGTCGTCCATCGTCCGTCGTCCATCGTCTTCGTCGTCGTCGTCCTCGTCGTCTTCGTCTTCGTCCTCGTCGTCTCCGTCGTCTTCGTCGTCGTCTAATGCAGCTGGCGATGTCTCAGCTACCGCAGGCTGGTTCGACCACTCTTCTGCAAGTGCAAAATGCTGTGGTTCTCTCTTCTTTTACTTAACAGCTTGTTCTGATAGGTTTCTAGTACGGTCAAAAGAGAGCAGCAGATGACTCCACAGGGGGGTCTGGGCGGGTGCCGGACAGGGTTCCGCAGAAGTGATTTTAAGCCAACAGTCACACACTTCGTGCTCTTCGACCTCCCAGAACTCCATTCCCGGGCCACAATCTGAATGCCCGTAGCCAACTGTAGGCCACTTCGTGCTCTTCGACTTCCCGGAACTCCATTCCCGGGCCACATTTTGAATGCCCGTAGCCAACTGTAGGCCACTTCGTGGTCTTCGAGTCCCCAGAACTCCATTCCCGGGCCACATTTTGAATGCCCGGAGCCAACTGTAGGCCACTTCGTGCTCTTCGAGTTCCCAGAACTCCATTCCCGGGCCACATTTTGAATGCCCGGAGCCAACTGTAGGCCACTTCGTGCTCTTCGAGTTCCCAGAACTCCATTCCCGGGCCTCATTTTGAATGCCCGAATGCCCCAACTGTAGGCAACTTCGTGCTCTTCGACTTCCCAGAACTCCCATTCCTGGGCCACATTTTCAGCAGGGGCAAGAGCACGACGAGGAGGAGGACGAGCAAGACCAGGAGGACGAGGACGAGCAGGAGCAGGACGAGGAGCAGGAGGAGCAGGAAAAGAAGGACGAGCAGGAGGAGGAGGAGGACGAGCAGGAGGAGGAGGACGACCAGGAGGAGGAGGAGGAGGACGACCAGGAAGAGGAGGAGGAGGAGGAGGAGGGGAGGGGGAGGACTACCAGGAGGAGGAGGAGGAGGGAGGAGGAGGAGGAGGAGGAGGAGGAGGGAGGAGGAGGAGGAGGAGGAGGAGGAGGAGGAGGAGGAGGAGGAGGAGGAGGAGGAGGGACGAGGAGGAGGAGGAGGAGGGGGGGGGAGAGCTGCCTTTTCGTCGAGATGCTGTTCGACCCAGAGATGCTCCTACACATGGCTGTTAGGTTGCTTTGCCGGGATAATTTGCCTAACAGCTTGTTCTGATAGGTTTCTAGTGGTGTCAAAAGAGAGCAGCAGATGACTCCACAGGGGGGTCTGGGCGGGTGCCGGACAGGGTGCCGCAGAAGTCGTTTTAAGCCAACAGTCACACACTTCGTGCTCTTCGACCTCCAGAACTCCATTCCCGGGCCACATTCTGAATGCCCGGAGCCAACAGTAGGCCACTTCGTGCTCTTCGACTTCCCAGAACTCCATTCCCGGGCCACATTTTGAATGCCAGTAGCCAACTGTAGGCCACTTCGTGGTCTTCGAGTCCCCAGAACTCATTCCCGGGCCACATTTTGAATGCCCGGAGCCAACTGTAGGCCACTTCGTGCTCTTCGAGTTCCCAGAACTCAATTTCCCGGGCCACATTTTGGAATGCCCGGAGCCAACTGTAGGCCACTTCGTGCTCTTCGAGTTCCCAGAACTCCATTCCCGGGCCACATTTTGAATGCCCGGAGCCAACTGTAGGCCACTTCGTGCTCTTCAAGTTCCCAGAACTCCATTCCTGGGCATGATTTTGAATGCCCGGAGCCAACTGTAGGCCACTTCGTGGTCTTCGAGTTCCCAGAACTCCATTCCTGGGCCACATTTTGAATGCTGAGGCAGGCTGATGCTGCGGCAGGCTGAGGCTGAGGCTGAGGCTGAGGCAGGCTGAGGCTGAGGCCGAGGCTGAAGGCAGACTGAGGCTGAGGCTGAAGCAGGCTGAGGCTGAGGCTGAGGCAGGCTGAGGCTGAGGCTGAGGCAGGCTGAGGCTGAGGCAGGCGCTGAGGCTGAGGCTGAGGCTGAGGCTGAGGCTGATGCAGGCTGAGGCTGAGGCGAGGTTGAAGGCAGACTGAGGCTGAGGGCTTGGAGGCTGAGGCTGAGGCAGGCTGAGGCTGAGGCAGGCTGAGGCTGAGGCTGAGGCAGGCTAGGCTGAGGCTGTGACTGCGACTGCCGTTGCCGCTGCGACTGTCATCGCGAATGCGACTACGACTGCGAGAACAGCAGAATTCTACAACTGGATTTTCATCTGAATCTTAAGGGGAATGCTTTCAGGTATGCTTCTACACATCGCTGTTAGGTTGCTTTGCCGGGATATTTTGTTTCTGGGCAGTGCTCGGCTGCAGTGCGATGCAGTCATCGCGCCTAATAAGGACGCGCGCCTTCTCCAGGGTACCCTTGTGTCCTTGCGTTTGCGGCCTGTCTTTTGCAGTTTTCATTGGCCAGATTTTGCAACAAAAATCCCAACTTCGGCTTCCAAGCGTCTTGCGTCCTGACCATCCGTCCTTAATGCACGTATGGATTGTAGACCCAACGCCATGGAGAAGATGAAGACTGGGCGGCCCCGCGCCTTCTCCCGCGAGCGCTGTGGTGTGCGCAGGCGCTGTGGTTCACGCAGGCAGCGTGGTGCAAACAGGCGCTGCGTTGCACACGGCTGCTGCTGTGTATACAGGCGCTGTGGTGTACGCAAGCATTGTGGTGCACGCAGGCAATGTGGTGTACACCGACGCTGTGTTCCTCGCGGCCGCTGTGGTGTACACGTGCGCTGTGGTGTACGAGGGCATTGTGGCGCACGCGTGTAAAATCTTCAAACGTTACAGTTTCCAGAAGGATTTTTTCGAAGCGTGAATTCAAAAGGTTCATATTCAGTGGAGTTCAACGGTACCCTAATTTCCAGAGGGATCCCTTTATCAAACCAGGTTTCTCTGTGGAGCCCAGAGGCGCTCCACTTCCATCGCGATGTCTTTCCAAATGTTGTATAAACATGGAGTTGTGTGGAATCCAGAGGCGCTCCATTTTCCATAGGGCTTCCTTCAATAATCCCATGCTAAACAATAGTTAAATATATACCACCATGTTACAAACAACGCTTGTTGCAGTATACACAGGCACTGCGGTGTGCATGGGCGACGTGGTGCTGCAGTGCAGCCGGCTGTTGTGGTGTGCGGAGGCACTGTGCTTTGTACACAGGTGGCGCTGTGTTGCACGCAGGCATTGGGCACTGTCGTGCACACAGGCTATTGATGCGCCGGTGGCGCGGACGCACCCTGGCGGGCGCACGCCGCGGCCGCCTTTCTGGTTACCCTCCCGCATCCCCCCCCCTCCCCCCCCGGGCAGCAGCCGTTACAAGGGAAGGCAAAAGCGGTAACCGTGTCTCGTGGCCCACTTTTTTTGTTTTGTTTTATTCGATGCGTCCCATGCGGCCCCGCCCCGTCCGCGCCCATGCCTGCGGCCACGGCCTGCGCGCCGTCGTTGTGGACGCTCTCGGACGCCCCCGATGGACGTTTTGTGTTTTTTGGGGCATTTCCAGAGGAGGAGGAGAAGGAAAGGAGGAGAAGGAGGAGAAGGAGGAGGAGGAAAAGTAGGAGGAGGAGGAGGAGGGGAGGGAGGAAGAGGAGGAGGATCAAGTGGAGGAGGAGGAGGAGGAGGAAAGGAGGAGGCAGGAGGTGGAGGATGGGGGAGGAGAGGAGGAGGAGGAGGAGGAGGAGGAGGAGGAGGAGGAGGAGGAGGAGGAGGAGGAAGGCCGCACCGACGCCGCAGCCAGTCCGCCGCCCTGGCATTCTTGGTCGGGACGCACCCGAGGTCGGGTTTGGGAGTCGAGTTCGAGCTGGGTTATCCAGACCTTCGGGGTGTTCGGACATGACGCTTGCGGTCTCTCCGACGCTGTCGGGAGCTACTTCAGGGGCCCTGGACTGCCAACGGAGCTGTTGGAGGGGTGGACAAGCTATCCAGGGGATACGGGTCGAGAGCTCGAGGGGCCCGCGGATTGAATTGATCACTTATGGGGCCCGCGGACTGCATTGATTCAGGAATGGGCAGGGGCCGATCTCAGATTCTGTGTCGGTGGGGCGCTCCGAGGTGGCAACGATGCTGCTGTATGGAAGTGTGCGATGTGCATACGGGCCCGGAGAGGGGCGACTGCTGGCTCATAGGACTGGTTGGTGCTTTCAGTCAAGGGCATAACAAACGCCCCTACCCTGGTCTACGAGGCTTTGTGCGCTGAAACTCCTGTGGGTTGACAGGGTAGTTAATCCCTGCGTGATGTGCCGCGTCCTGGCGGCTCTAGGCTTTGGGGGGTCCCAGGAGGTTTACAGACCACGCACTTGTAACCCAGGGTAGGGTGGTTTTTTCATCCCTCAATTCAGCGCGTCCACTCCGCCTTTATAGCAGAATTCGTAGCATGAGAGCTAGGCCTCCACTGTTTGACCTTCAGACTTGGGGCGTCGTATCCGTGCGGCGTGAACAGGGAGTCACGACGGTCGTGGTCGCCATGGTTTCGGGCCCCGGGACCCTCGCGGTTCGATCCGGCTTGAGGATTCGGTCGGTATGTTTTGGCATCGGAGGAGGGGGAGGAGGAGGAAAAGGAGGAGAAGGAGGAGGAGGAGCCTCTGGTCAGAATGTGCTCCAGAGGATCAATGCGTTCCAGAGCGTCCCGGAACTCTCTCAGAGCATTCTGGAACGCCCTGAGCAGGCCGCGGCGCCCGAGACATCTTCCAAAGCCGCTGGATCTCCGAGGTATACCTCGGGGAGGAGGAGGAGGAGGAGGAGGAGGAGGAGGAGGAGGAGGAGGAGGAGGAGGATCTCGAGGGATCCCCGCCCGATGTGGTCCTCGTTTCTTCGTCGTGGCACAGCTCGTGGGCCAGGGAGGCGGAGCAGGCCCACGCGCGGCGGGCTCTCGCGCCGAGCCGGCGCGGCAGCGGCGTTGGCGCGATGCAGCGGAGGTGGCATCCACCCGCGGCCAGAGGCAAGCCTTATGTCGGGCGTGGCCCCCTGCAGGGGGAGTTTCGACGAAAAAATACAAATACCCCAAACATATTCCAAAAAGATCAAACAATACTCAAAAAATAGTCCCCCGACTATCTTTGGAGTATTTATATATTATTTTGGGGGTATTTTATTTTCATCGAAACTCCCCCTGTAGGGGGACAGGCCCGACTTAAGGCAAGCCAACCGTGAGCGACCTGTGCCGTCGGACAGCGTCGGGCGGGTGGTAATGTGAAGTCGGGCGTTTCTCCTCCACAGGACGAAGATTCAAGAAGAGTCAGGGGACGATGTTCCTAAACACGTTGGAATTGTTTTGCGCATTCGTCCGAAATTCCCCCTGTAGCAGGACACGCCCGGCCTCATTGCAATGTGGGGTGGCCCAGATAGGGGGTGAAGAAAAGGGCCCTACATGGGCCCTTGAGGCCCCTTTTGTACCCAGCTGGTGCCCTTGAAGGGGCCCTAAAGGGCCCCCTTAGGGCCTCTTTCTCCACGCCCGATGTGAACGAGTCCGCCCCCAATGACCACCTGCCCGACAGCGGAGACTGCCGCGCCGACGTCAGACAGCAACCTCCACGCGATGCCGGAGAGCACGAGTGACGTGTCGGGCGCCAGCGCCCCTTTCGGTGCCGCAGCACGAGTGGGGGGGCCAAAACAGGCCTGCCTGCCGCCACGACTTCGAAAGGAGGGAGGCTGTTCACTTCGCCCCCCCCCCGGGGGAAATCGCCGGGTGGTGGGGCAGGGCTCGCACGTGGCCTCCTGACGACACCGCCCAGGATTGACCACGATCTCCACGCGGCTGGCCCCCGAAGCTCGGCCGCCCTCCGCGGGCCTCCCGCCGAGGCTCCCACCAGCCGCTGCACCTCCTAATGTGCGTTGCTTCCGCCAGCCCGCCGCCGCCTTCGGGTGGAGGGCGAGGCGTCCACCCCTCTTCTCCTACCCTCTCCTCCCTCCTCTACCTCCTCCTTCTCCTCCTCCTCTCCTCTTCTCCTGATCCGCCTCTCATCCTCATCCTCCCTCCTCCTCCTCCTCCTCCTTCTCCTCCTGACTCCTCCTCCTCTCCTCCTCCTCCTCCTCCACCCCCTCGCTGCCTCGAGGGGCGAGGCCACGCGCGGCACGCCCTCTGCGGCGGGCGCCCTTGCCCCGCGCGCCCTCGCGAGAGGCCGCCGCTGGATCCGCCAGCGGCCCCCGCGGCGGCGGCGCAGGCCGCGGGGCGTCGCCGAAGTCGGCGCCGCCGCCGCCGCCGTTCGTCGTCGCGGCCGTCGTCGTCGTTGAGCGTCGTCGTGGTCGCCGTCGTTGTCGCTGTCGTGGTCTTCCCTCCTTTGTCGTCGTCGTCGTCGTCGTTGTAGTCGTCGTCGTCGTCGTCGTCGTCGTTTTAGTCGTCGTCGTCGTCGTCGCCGTCGTTGTAGTCGTCGTCGTCGTCGTCGTGGCCGACGTCGTGGTCGTTGTGGTGGTCGTTGTGGTGGTCGTGGTCGTCGTCGGCGGCGGCTCTCGTCATGATTCCTGCTGCTCTCTCAGGAGGCCTGTGGTGATCGGTGGTTTCTGGTGGGTTCGAAGGTTTCTGGAGATCCTCGGAGCTTCCGCGAGTTCGAACCGATGAGGAAGTCCACGACGAAGGATCAAGGTAATTAGAGGAGATCTCATTGGTTGCTTGCAAAAACAAAATCCCAGCCGTCGCCGCCCCTTCCTTGGCGGGACACTCACCCCGACCCCTGGATAGTACATCATACCCCCTTATCCCCTTGATAGTTTGTTGTCCCCGGCCAATATAGATTTGGTCGGGGGAGGGGGGCGGCAAGGCCCAACTTTATTATCGCGTGGGAAAGTCGCGAATCGAAGTTGCTATCTTGTTATGTTGATTAGCAACATCATCAAAAACGTGTGGCATGGCAATGGGGGTCTCACCATTTTAGCTCTCGCAAGTCACGAACGTGTGAGAGGCCTTTGGGAATCTCACCGCTGAAGCTTTCCCAAGTCATGAACGTGTGGCAGGCCTACGGGAGTCTCACTATGACAAGGATCTTCTTTTTTCTGGCCCCCGCCCTGAACTTATCACTCACGATATCCGCTCTTCCTTACGTTCTCCGCTCCCTCACGTTCTCCATCCGCCCAATAACTAGGACTATGACTGATACCATTACGACTAGACTACGACGGCGACGACGACGACGTCTACTACTACTACTACTA